TATTTTTGGGGATTGTCTCCATTTCAGAAATCTTGATGAGCTTGAAAGAGAACAAATGGTCTGAAGCAGAAAAGGGCTTTTGGACCCAGGACCCTCCAAAAGCATGATCTGAATGTCTTGAAGTTATTCCTGCTGAGAATCAAATGGGGCACACTAAACAACAGAAATGAGCAAAGTAAGATTTTCAATTTAGTGGAAAAGTTGGAATTAATTCAGTGACCCAGAAGGGCCTTGTTATTCAGGAGTTGAAGCTCTGGACTGATAGGGCCTGGTCTGCTCTTGCTGTTAGCAGGTGTAAGCAGGGAGAGAAAGAAGATGATTTAGAGTTCTTGGTTGTTCTTTTCATACCCTGATAACCAGGGTTGTTTTCTTATATTGTTCTTTTTTCTTATGTGGTATGTGCAACAGTAATGCTCAGCATAAAACTGGGGTTGAGATCTCTTGAATCTAGTACTGAAACTCCTAATGCATTGGATCACATTCCTGCCTTTGGCCACCCCAGTATTTTCAATAATGTGAATCAGTGACAGGTGTCTTAAAACCTAGAGACCAGACTGTAAAACTGTTGTTGAAATTACAGCATAATCATTTTTATTGGATCCTCAAAAGTCTGAGTTTCCAGTGAATAACCAGAAATAAATGCAAGTACCAACCTCACACTATTATCTTAAAATAACTGAAAATAGGTTGATTTTTAAATAATCTATTTCCTCTGTTGGCAGCAGATGTTCAGCATGAAGGTCCTTGGTTCTAAAGAGATCAGACCACTAGAGGCTCTCTGAATAAAGCTTGCAGTTTTTGTTTTTACTCTGGTGTGTCTGTACACTACCAAAGAGGAAGCTTTTCCCTGGGCAAAAATGCCCCAGTTCAGTGCAGCTTGTTCTTACTGCATTTCCTGGTCCTTTGTGGGTTTCTACCAGGTCCCCCAGAAATTGTTCAGGGTGGGAAGCCCATTCCAATGCATGGCAACCCTTTTAGGGAGCCACCTAATATTCTCAGAGGACTCTTCCTCAGACTCCAAGAAGTTTTGAGTGTCATTGGCTCATTTAGAGTTGATTGCTGTTTGTATAATGATCTCAGTTGTTTTTGTGTTTTTTTTTTTTTTTTACCTCCTGTACCTTTACGTCTGAAAAATTAATTCAGTCTGCCTGTAGAAATTCATTGCTATGAACTCTTTTCCCAGTTTGTAGTACTGACTTTTAAGTTTGATTAAACTGAATAATTTCATATAATCCACAGACTGTCATCTTACTATTTATCTGCTTTTGCAGAGTACTTTTTTTGAGCATTTTTTATACTGCAGGGAATATCCTATATCCTTAGGGGAGATGTGCTTGAAACCTGTCTGTGCTCTGAAAATTCACTGCTGGTCAGACAGTATATTTCATTTTGTTCTAACAACAAGAGTGTGTATCAGACATAAAGATGTTTTAGTGACTGACTTGGTTAAGAAATCTTGGGAAATCAAAATCTCCTTTGTCAAATTCTAACTTCTAGAGCTCTTGACAGTGAGTTTTGTTGGTATCTTAAAATTTTTTAAGTTTTATTTCATACTTAAAAAACCCCATCTTTCTAGGAGTGTCATTAAAGAAGATTTTACCAAAGAAAAATGAGGAATGCAGAGTAACTATGCCTTTTCTAAATAAAGTTTTTTATTTTTTATTTTTGTGTAGAAATCAACTCGTTTTTCTGGAGTCGTCATTTTGATTCATCAAGCAGCTGGTTTGTTACTGAAAAGCTCAGAATATTTCCTCTGATTGCCTTCCTGTGAGTATGATCAAAGAAGTTACCTCAGACTTCCTTTCCTGTGGTATTCAGAAGCTGGGGGGTTTATTTGAGGCTTCTATTTCTAGTATGTTTTCTTATTTCTTTGGAGGTTGATCTAAATTCCTCTGACAATCAGTGCAGAACCCTGCAGAAGACACTTGACTCCTGTCCCTCTGGTGTCACTGACACCAGTGATTACTTTGTTCAGAATTGATAGTAGATTTAAAGCATTTCACATGGAATTTTACCTTCAACTCAAAAATCATTGTGTTTTACAGTTAGCATTTTGTCAATGTATGGCTATTGTTTTAAAAGTTGTGTTTCCTCACTGGATTTTAGCAAGTTTTTTCCTGCAGTGGGAGTCTTAAATCATATTTATTCATGTTATGATCATATGCTGGAGTGCTGCTATCCTGTTGTGTCTTCTTTTTAGAGCAAGCAGGTTCTGAGAAGTATGTAAGACACCAAGTAACTGTGTTTACTGACTATTTACAACATGGAACATGTAGACATTTTTTTTTACAAACTTTGTTCTTTCGCTGCCAGAACCAGTGAGGGCTCACAAACCATTTAAAGGAAGTGTTTAGAATGTCTGTAAACTTTAGTCCTTCAATATACAGAAATTCCAGACTGGAGACAAACTGTGGACTGGCTCTAAGTTTAAGCAGTGCTTGTGACAGCAGAATGATGGGTCAGAAATATTGCCCCTTAAATATCATAATCTTCAGTCAATTCAGGGTACAATAAGCTGCTTGTCACTGGTGAGGGACCACTTTCTCTCTGTGCCTGGGCCTCCTCTGTACCTCTATTTTTGGCAAGAGCAGTCTGGAGGGGGAGACACACAGAGCAGAAGGCTGGAGACTGCTTGCATTGCCTTTCATCTCCAGCAGCCTTCCCTCCCCATCAGGATTGCTGGGTCTGGGCTCATTTCAGCTGGTTTTGTCATCATCCTTGGGAAAGCAAATTTAACTTTGTCTACACTTCTGAGAAGGTTTGTGCAAGTGCAGAATGGGCTGATAATTGTTGCAGGCTGTTCTCTGCCCCGGTTGTTGTTTTGCAGTTCTGCATTACTTTCGAGCCTTCGGTGTAGGGAGTGTTTAAAACTGAAGCCAGATGCAATCTGGTATTTCCAGTTGTAGGAAACGCTGATGTTTCAAAATTAGGATTTCTTTTTGATTCAGAACCAGCTAAAATGTTCTGAAATTTCCCATGGAACATTTCTCCCCATGAGATGTCTAGCTTTAAGTTCTCACGTGCTTCCCCAAGTAGTGTGTTTATGAGGTATTTCAATTCCTTAAAAATATGAATCGAGGCAAAGAAGGCCATACTGTCCAAAAGTAAATGAGGTCATAAATGTAAGCCTTTTTTCCCTGTGCTAAGGATTGGATATTCAAAGAGAGCAGTGACTGTCCTCCAGAGAGTTTCTGATACCTCAGCAGTTCGAGTTCTATCTGTAGACAGGTGTTGAAAGAAGGCACTTCAGTCTCCCAGAACTGAGGCTAAGCTGGGGCTGGTTCCTTCTTTTGGTTCATAAATTGCATCTGAAAATCCATTCTCCAGGGACTCAGTCATCTTCTCCAAGTGTTGGATGCAGGGTAAATTTCACCTCTCTCATGCTGAAGTCCCTCTGGTGCTTGCCCAGCACTTGTCAAGGTGACAAAAGAATTCTGTCACAAAGAAGTAAAGGCAAAATCTGACCAGATTTTCCATACTTAACCTCCACTTTCACATGGCAAAGCTGGCAGAACAGGGTGGGTTGGGTTTTAGGGGATGTGAATGAAAATACATGGAATAGGCCATTTAGAAAATCATGAAAGCAAATGTTGTGGACCAATACACTAATTTGGAAACAAAAAACCCAGCATTATCTCTGCACTGGAAATGAGACACATCTCTTTATCTGAATATGAAAGGCAGTAACAGTTTAGTATTATCATGACAGTCCTTTTAAGTCTTCTGTTAGTCCTTGAATATATTCAAACCTGATTTTGGAAGGCAATCTGACATGCTTATATGAATTACTTTCAAGAATAAGTGCTACCGTCAAAGGTTAAGGTTCAGAGTCACTGGATAGGGATGATTGTTTTTCATTTTCTCTTGGAATTGTTTGTTTTGTTGAAAGATGTTTGCCATTAGGAAACATTGTGTAAGAATGGGTTTAGTCAGCTTTCCTCCTAAATAATCATTTAGGAGAAAAGCATTTTTGTAGAGTCTCTGAAGATATTTTCTATGGCTTTATGAGGTAATGTTAGATGGGCATAGGGTCTTCCTTCTCTCATCCATCCTCTCTGCTACTCGGAAAAGGAGGGGCAGAACTCAATCTTGTCCAAGTTCCCGGTAACTTCTGGGACATCAAGTGACCTCTGAGTACAGCTGGGGCACTTTTGTGGGAAAGCTCTTTTGTGAGAGATGAGAGCCTGGTGGGTTTTGTGTTGTGTTGGGTCACTGAGGAGGTGTTTGGAGTGGCTGTAAACAAAGCCAGAGCATCATTTAGATATAGAAAGTTATTCCTCATTTAAGGGTGAACCCAAACAAGTAAACCTGCTGTGACTCATCCCAAGTTTTGGAAGAAGAACATTTTTTATTTTCCACAAATTAGAGCACCTGGGAATTCTAAAACAGACACACTGGGTAGCTGAAGAGAAATCTGCTTCTGATAAACCATGTCTTGTCAGACAGAGGTTTAAGGACATTTGAAAAAAAAAAATTAAAAGAATTCTGAACAAGCAGAAAGATCATATGTAAGGGCAGGATCACTGCTGTGTTTGGAGTGAAGGGAGTGGAGTTGGTTATTTGCATCTTCTCAGTAGGTAGGGGGCAGATACAGCTCACTGGAGAGGAGGTGGCAGGAACGTGCTGCCCTTTGGCTCTGCTCTCTGGCAGGGAGTCCATCAGGAAGCAGTGACAAGCACAGCTTGGGCGCAGCAGAAGCTGTGTGGTTGTCCTCTGTGCAATATTGCCCTTCATGTGCTGAGGGAAAGATAGGTTGGGAGCTGGGGTTCTTCAGTCTTCATTCACAAATGTTCTTTTTCAGCTCCCTCACAATATGCTCTCCTGTCACTTTAAAATTGCATTTCTGTTGCTGCTGCTTTGATCTTCCCAGGGCCATTGTTGTATTGGTGTGTGGAACTTCACAGAGAAGACCAATCTCTCTCTGTTAAATGGGGCCAATTGTTCAGAACTCTGATAATAATTATACTGTGCAGCATTACACAGACTTTCCTTGCCTGCAGTTTGGTGATGCTTTCAGATCATGATAGGCAAGAACCTTGGCCCAACATTTCTGTATGATGTGGAAGTGAGAAATAGCTGAAATTTTGAAAGAATATCTTGTCTGCAACTCATGTTGTATTCTCAGGTGTTGTGGTGGGGTAGCCTCAGAAGCACACCATCATTGTTAGATGTTGATACGAACTGATCTTGAACTCCCAGTCTCTGGAAGTTCCCCATGCCCGTTTTCCACGTTTTCCAACAAGAGCCTGATTTATTTTTTTTTTTTGCAACTTTTTCTCATATGAGTGCTGTGGGTTTGGAGCTGTTAAGTCTTTGGTCTGACTCTCACTTTCCCTAGAGTCCCTTTACACAGTTAAGGCATTTTGCTACAGGGGTCTTAAAATGAAAGTAGATGACATTTAATAGCTTAAATGAGAAACAGGTTCCCTAAAATAATAAGTGAAATTGGTCTTCCCTAAATTGTTGAGTGCTGACCTTGAAAAAACCCTTACAGTCACTGCAGGTAGACTGGAATCTGGAGAACAGATACCCCAAACTTCAAGAGATTACCTGAGGCAGGGGGTTTTTTCTGCACTTCTTTTTTAGGATAAAATTCTTTTCCTTTACACTTGGTACCCACATGTCTGTCTTAAAGCATTATTTATTTGTCACTGACCTTCAGAACGGCTGGTATAAAATTCTCACCCTTCTTTAGGATTTTTAAAATTTGCTAGTTTTAATGATTAATATTTAGCGTGTATTTTGGTTATGTCAACATGTTAAAGACTCTGTATTTTGAATATTGGGAGGGCTTTTTTATGTGGGAGGCAATGTTTAAATATGTTTCAAGAAGAGGGGAGGCAAGAAAAGCTGCCATCCATCAACTGGCATTAAGTCCAACTTTGAAAGTTTGATACAAACTAAATCTGACTGTTAGTGCAGATATGATACAAATTAGCTGTGACTTTATGATACCAGCTGTTTCTCTGACAGGGTAAAAGGGCACATAACTAGAATAGCATCTTTTGTTGAAAGCAGTGTTTCCCTTTGTTAAATGTGGGAGCCTCAGGCAAAAAAATCGTAGTCCGTAGTTATGTGACATGTGCAGTCTGCAACATGTTCATGGAGCTCCAGGGGCTTTTTACTGATGTTTTTTGAAGTCAGGGTTATCATAAGTGTTCTATTTTTGCTAGTTTTATCACTGAGACACAAATCTCTGTCATGTTTTTCCCTTGTGTTAAAAGTGAGGATAATCTAAGTGCTGTTTTCCTTACAAGTACAAAGAAAATCCTGAATGGCAAAACCTGAGGAAATTCTACAAATCTCAATGTAAAATTCAATCGACTTAGTTATTTTTATTAATT